ACTCAGTTAAACTATCAACATTTACTCTGTTTTGTTTCGTACTAATTTCTAGTGTAGAATATCGTTAAATAGATAAAATATGTTGATATCTTGACTGACTTGTTTTGACTACTTTGACTATATCGACCATTCTGACTGTTTTCGCCACCGTGACTATCTTGACTATTATGACTTTTTTGCATCTTCTGACTATCGTGACTATTTTCACTAACTGTCTTGACTGGACTATCTTGACTATCTTGACAATCGTCACTATTTCAACCATTATCACTGTTTTCACTACTTTGACTAGGTTGACTATTATGACCATTTTGAGTATCTTGACTGTCGTGAATATTTTCCCTATCTTGACAGTTTTGACTAGTTTGATTATTGTCACTGTTTTGTTGACCACGCCAGAAAAGTGGTCTAGCAGAATACTGATGCTCTGAGGTTTTTCAGAAGGTTTCTGGAAAACCTTAAGCCAATGCGCAGCTCACAGTCACCTTTTTCATCTTCGATTATGCTTTATGAGCTGTCCTGAGCATTTGCTGAAATTTCCTTGAGTCAGCATGAGATTTGATCGAGATATAAGGATTTTAATTTTTGCTAGTCACAGGCGAAAAACCGGTTTTTCACAGCAATGCGTCTGGCGAAGTTATATTCATTTCTACACAAAAACAAATGTTGCTACTATGCTCAGCGTAGTCTATTACCTATAGTCCATGGCATTTGAGATTCCCAGAGACGTCTGCTCGGAGATAGACACGTGCTCGCGGAGAGGGAGCCTTGCCCGAACGACGATAGCTAGCGGGTCGGGACTTGCATAATTTTGTAGAGTAACGTCCGGACTATCTATGCATGCAGAAAAGTTACTAACATTTTATGTTAGTTTTCTGAGAACGGAGCTGGTTTTCCAAAGATCCTCTGAAAATCCGATCTCTGGAACTTTTTCAAAAGTGGCTTCCGCTTGTGAAAAGTTCTGCTCAAGTCTTGGCTATTGAACAGCGAAAATCGAAGGTCTCTATCTCGTTCCTGTCAAAAGTTATTCAAAAAGTGGCACCCGGCACTGTATTTTGGTATGGATAGTAGTTTTGTCGCTCATAACCCATTATACGATATTATCAACCAAATTACCCATTTTTTACGAACATGGTTAACAAATAAATACATTACCTCTAAGCAGTACGAGAAATTATTGCCAGTGCGTAGAAAATGCCAATTAGCACATCTTTATTATCTACAGAAAGCACACAAACAAGGAACACCGTTATGCCCAATTTGTGCCTGTATTAATTCACCAACTGCACCGTTGTCACAGTTTTTAGATAATTTACTTCGACCATTATTTAAGCAATCAACACCAACATCAGTTGAAAGTGGGATATATGTAGCACAACAATTAAAATCATATTCACGATCTGAACGATTTACATTGAAGACATTATTTATCACTTTCGACATCATCGATTTATATACTATGCTAAATCAAAACCGTGCAATATTCTATTTGAGAAGATTCTTACAAGGAGACTTGCAATTAACAACATTAGACGGAATACCAATAGACGTTATTATTAAAATGTGTAATCTTGTTTTGAAAAATAACTACTTTTACTATGACAATAATTACTAGCATCAAATTAAAGAAGGCGCGTAAATGAGTTATATTTTCGTTTTATCGATGATTCATTTTTAACATCTAATGATACAGAAGAAGATTTTAAAAAAAATTTAGATAGGTATAATTTATATGATCCAGCAATTAAATTAACATATACAATATCAAAACATGTAAATTACTTAGACATTGACATTAGAAACAACAATGGTACCTTAGAGACAGGCGTATATCATAAACCATCACACGAACTATATTTTTTACTATATTCATCAGGACATCCACCACATATTAAACACAATATTCCGCACATTTCTTTTATACGCGCATTTAGATATTCATCATCATTATCAATATTCAATGAAGAAAGAACACATATTGAAATATCATTATTATTAAATGGATACCCATTAGAATTTATTAAACAACAATATAGCAAAATTTTAGCAACATATAACATGAATCAAACCGACAGTAATAATTTTAACATAATTCAACAAAAACTCCTCCAAAATACAAGTAGAAGCAACAATAAAAATACTGCCTATAGCAATAAAATATTTTTTCATTTTTCATATACGAACAATATGGCTAAGTTTAACCAAAAATTCCATCGAATATGGAAAGAACACTTCGGTGACACTCATATTTCACATATTAAACCAATAATTGGCACAAAAACACAGATAATATACAAAAAATGATTATCAACACAAAGCCATCATTAGACAATCTCGTTTGACAATATTAAATACATTCAAATATGAATTTCATTATATTTTTCGTTAAGTTTATATCGGAATGAATTGATTTAAGCTCGGTTCGTGTTTTGAAGTTAGTATTACTATCATCGGTATACACTTGGTATTTTCAACCATTGTTCGATAGAACTTTCATATTTTTCACATTTGATATATTGAGGAAGAAATATTGAGATTAACAACGTTACATGTTTTTCTGAATCTCATTACACATCACCTTCTACAAGTATTTTTTCCATCAAAAACATAGCAAAACAAATTATCGTATTCTAAAAAAACTTTTTTAGTATTTTATTCTGGCATCTTTAATATTGTATAGCGGGCCTACATTATTCTTCTTCTTCTACTTCAGTAATTATTAATATCCCTGCAAATTACTCAACATATTTTAATCTTGATCGTTGTTCTTCTGAAAATTTTATTTTATTTAATTATTTATTCTCAAGACAAGTAAAAGTAATTTCGAAACAAGCCATTGAAACTTATTCTTGAGGCTAATTCAAAATTCGACTCAAACTGGCAGAAAAAGTAATTTAAGCTTCAAGACATTGTCATTACAACAGATAAGAAGGAATATCATTAGAATTATTCTCCTTCTCCCCTTTTTTCTTCTTAAAAATAAGTGGTAGTCGAATATAGAAGGACAGTAACAAATGTATATATTGTTGCCTCCTCACGACCATGCGGTACTGTAATATATAGAAGTGACGATCAGGCCTAGTCAAATGAAGAATAGTTTATATTTTTTATCTTTGGCCCACTCCCACATGCACACTTATATGCATCGAATTTTCTTCACTCCTTTTACATTTTTATTTTAATAACACAAACTGAAGAGTATCTTTAGAAGATCGAAACTAGTCTAGTGTTTTTTTTATATAGATTAAAATTTTATTATTTTTTTTTTCTTTTAAAAAGTTTTTTTTATATTTGTTATATATTCTTCTTAGTCATAAATTATTTTTTATTGGCAAATCGCATATATAGATATATAACTAAAAACGGGATATCATCAACGACAAAAATATTTTTGGATCATAATTACATCTTGAATTACATTGACAAGGAAAACGGATTTTTCTTTTATCGACTGTTATGGCCATTTTGAGTATCTTGACTGTCTTGAATATTTTCCCTATCTTGACAGTTTTGACTATTTTGATTATTATCACTGTTTTCAATATCTTGATTATCTTGACTATGTTAACTAGTATGACTGTTTTCACTATGTTGACTATCCTGACTATATCCACCATTTTGATCAATATGACTGTTTTCACTATCTCGACTACATCGACTGTTTTGACTGTTTCCACAATCTTGGCTGTCTTGCCTATTTTGACGGTTATGACCAATTTCACTATACTGACTATCTTAACCATACTGAATATCCCGACTATTTTGAATATTACGACTGTCTTGCCGATTTTGACTACCTTGACTATTGTGCCTGTTTTGACTATTTTCATTATATCGAATAGTTTGACTAGTATGACAGTTTTCGCTATCGTGATTATCTTGACTACTTTGACTATTACGACTGTTCCTACTATCATGACCATTCTGACTATGTTGACTATGTTGACTATTATGAGTGTTTTGACTATTTTCACTAGTCTGACATTTTTGACTATCTTCACTATCTTGACTTTTTCGACTATTATGAACCTTTAGACTACCTTGACTATTTCGACCACCTGGAGTATTTCGACTAGTTTAACCCCAATGACTGTTTTCACTATCTTGACGTATCTTCATCATCACTATTTTGACCATTTTGACTATTTTGACTATCTGGCCTATCTTGAAAACTGTGACTGTTTTGACTATTTTCACTATTATGACAACTTA